CACTAAAGTTTCAACCTCAGCAACATCTATAGTCACTGCAGTGGTTTGCCTTCCATCACCCATGGCATTGTCCTCATACCGCTTATTCTTGAACTTCTGGTAATCTTTCTTGATGTGTCCTTCCTTGCCACAATGAAAAAATTTGATCTCCCTTTTCGTCTTTGATCAGTTTTGGTCCCCATTCTTAAACCTTTCTCGATTTGTAGCAAGAGCTTGCGAGTTCGATGTGTTGGAGGATTTTCTTCTCACCTCCTCATTCAGTATGCTGCTTGTGGACTGACTCATGATCACTATCGCAACTGGTGATGAGTTACTCACAGAGAATACCAGTGTCTCCCAATTGTCCGGCAGTGAATCGAGCAAAAACAAAGCCTACAGCCCGTCTTCTATGAACAACTTCATTGTTTCGAGTTGGTTAACAATGATTTGCACCTTATTTAGGTGCCCCCCAACGGATTTCCCATCCCTGAACTTCATGTTCACTAACTTTCAGATCAGGAACGCCTTAGTCTTCCTCTCGTATAAGTTATGTAGTTTAACCCACAATGACTTCGAGGATGTCTCCATCAACACATGATAGAACACATTTTCTTCCAACCATTGTCAGATAGTTCTGAGAGCCTTTCAGTTTAGTCTCTTCCACTCATAATCTGTCATACTTTCGGTTCAATGGGTGTGTACAAATCCTAACAGTATAGTAGATATTCCATCTTTGGCCTCCAGATGATCCAATTATTACCATTGAGTGATATCATTCTAATCTCGGTACTGGAATCCATCTATCCACACGTTGTCTATCCCTCACACATTTTGGTCAGTAATCACCCAATCATTTCGATTAACTACCCACCGATCATGAACTGCCCACCAATCGTTAACTACTACCTGATCGTCAACTACCACCTGATCCTCAACTACCCACCAATCGTGCACTGCCCACTGATCGTGAACTCCCGATCGATTGTGAACTGCCCAATGATCATGAACTCTCACCGAATCGTTGTGTCATCCGATCATTATTGTTACCCAAGGGATTTGTGTTCTTCCTTACTCGTCCTATAACTGCTAGGTTCGCTATACCGTAAAACGATGATAGGGAGGACTAAGCAGCGAGGGAAAACGCGCTCTAATATCACTTGTTGAGCTCACCCACTTAGACCCCTCTCGCACGAATGCAAATTCGTGCAGCAGAAACTAGGAAATATGAGAAACACAAATATGCCAAAGCCAATGTGTGTGTATGAGTGGGAAAACATGCAATAAAGCAAATAAATAAATAAATCTTACGTAACTGATTTACGTGGTTCGCCTTTTCAAGTTACCTCCAAGGGAGAAAGAGATGAATCCACTATTAAACTCACCAATCACAATAGTCTTCCAATAAACAACCTTTCTTGGAATCACCGATTTCATCTAAAAACTTCTCTCTAGGATTTCCCTATCAAATCTCAAAGACTTCTTTTCTTTCTAAAAGCTTTCTCTCTCTAAAAGAAAATGTTCATTCTTTCTCTCATTTTTCTTCATTTCTCCCTCTTTTCTCTTACAACAAATAAAAGACTCAAGAAGATGATCATTGGCTCTCTTTCATCTTCTTCTTCTCTCTAAAAAGAATGATAACTCTCTCTTTTTTTCTTTTCTCTTCAGAAAATGATAACACTCTTTCTTCTTCTTCTCTCTAAGAGAAGGATAACTTTCTTCTTCTTTTTCTTCTTCTTCTTCTTCTTTGCAAAAGAATGCTTCCTGAATCTCTAATATACCAAGAAGAGTCCACCCAAACACTGGCCCAAGATATATGTATGCCCAAAATGGCACTAGAGAGATGGCTTTTGGTCAAACAAACCAAGAGCAACAATAGCCTCTCATGTATTCCACAATAATTGGCCGAGAAACATGAGGTTGCACATACATGCAAACACACGCCTCACATTGCTATGTATGTAATAATATAGGGACTATTATTTGCCCTAACCCCCATGACTCATGATTATTGGAGATTGATAATCATGATTCATGAGGTTCATCACGTTACCACTTGGTGAATGGATTCTTTCCACCATCCTAATAGTAATTGGAAGGTGCTGAACCTCGTGAGTATAAACCTCATAAACACAAAAAGATGAACCTCATGACTATGGATAGCCGTGAGGATTATTGTACACTTTGATCTCTTTATATGATATCACTCAAGGCATATTTAGTACGCTTGAAAGTACTTTCACATGAAAGAACTCTTTCATGTGATGAGTTTTGGGTTTTTTTTTATGGAAATCCATACCACTTATTTTTATGTTTCATTTCACAATAAACCCAAAGTTTTAAAAGATATCTAGGGGCATAATAATTGTAGATTTTATTTCTTCTGACCCCCTGAGTTAATTTAAAGCTGTTTTTTTAGGCCAAACAAATCTAAAAATACATGTTTGTCCTAAAAGCCATCCTCTCAAATTTCTCTCTCCCTGCACCCCTTCTCTCTCTCTCGCACCCCTTCTCTCTCTCCATCTTTCCTATATCTCTCCCCTCACTCTCTCTCCTCTTGCTCTCTTTCTCTCTTCACATTTCTCATCTCTCTCCCCTCACTCTCTCTCCTCCTACTCTCTCTATCTTCATGTTTCTCATCTCTCTCCCCTCATTTTTACAACCTTCACAAAGCTCACAAAAACGGGAGGAGCGAGGTTACCAGGAGGAGAGCAGTTATCGGGAGGAGAGAGAGAGGTGTTTGGAGAAACATGAGAGGAGAGAGAGTGAGAGATATAGAAAGAGAGAGAAAGAGAGAAGTTTGGAGTATAAAAGTGAAGAAAAAAAGGATTTGGTTCAAAAAGAGCATGTCTTTTTCACATTTATTTAGGTTAAAAAATAAGTTTAAAGTGGTCAGGGGCTTAGAAGATATATTTTGAAACTTTTAGTTTATAAGCCAAAAAATAAAGGATATGAAGATATTTTTCCCTTTTTTTAACATCAATTAATCTCATCATATATTTTTTTATACCAGTTAGTAGTTAATTGGTGAAAAAAAACTCTCCCACATAACTACGTAAGGAAGTTCTTTCTTGTAAAAATATTTTCACACAAATATTTTTGCATGTACCAAACATGCCCTTAATGAAATAACACATCCATATGATATTGACACATGCCCTTAATGAGATAGTGCATTCATATGATATTGATTCGGACTATTTAATGACACATTCATAGGATGAAAAAGTAGAAGAAAAACAAGGGCACGTGGCCATACGATCTTATCAACAACTAAGACAGAAGGGACCACGCATTCGTGAGTTTCATAAGGGGGGTCTAGAAGTTGACATTTGTTAAAATGGACATAGGAAAGACCCATGGGTTCATTAGATTTTAGAAGTTCAAACCATACTTCAATGTAAGGGTTAGAGAAAGAGAGAGAGAGGGGGATGTTGTTGGGTGGTTGGGTGAGCGATACCTTGGGAATTTAGAACTTAATTGTATGAATTCCACAGCAGTACAGACAGAGGGGGGATAGATTTTTTTCATTTTAATAGAAGGTTATCTTAATCTTAAAAAACTATTGTTCAGGATTAATAATCTGCTAGAATCATATCAGTTCTGAGAAAGTATCAATACTTATTATATCCGCCTTTCTAAACTCTCCTCTTTAGAGTTTTTGTGTTTTTAATCTTAAGTAAACTATAGTGATGTTGAATTTTAGAGAGAGAGATGGAGATGCTGTTGGGTGGTTGGGTAAGAGGTACACTGGAATTCAAAACTTAGTTGTATGAATTCCACAACAGTTTAGACAAAGGGAGTGGGGACAGATTTTTCATTTTAATGTTAGAGTTAATTCTAATATTTTCAAACAAAAACAAAAAAAAAAAGAGGAAGGAGAGGAGAGAGATCTATTATATGAATTTAAATTTTGGAAAAGTATCCCAGTTACATGAATTTAAATTTAAAAGTACGTTCGAAGGGAGATACTATTATTTCACGAAAAGCGTCAAGGAAAGTTTTGTCGTGTTGGACATAGGGAGCTACGGTCAAACAATTATTTATTTTCTCACAATTAATTTTTACTCTTCATTTTTTATCTACCCTATTATGGGGTCCGATATATTCCATCACACGATGAGAGGCCAGATGGGCAAATTAGAATGAAAATGTTTTAATAGAACTGCAGCCTTATCAAAGCCTCACCTCGAAAATTGTAGTTTTGTCATTAAGAACCTTCAAATCCATCGACTGGGCTTTGATAATTATCGGTGCAAGAAAAAGAAAAATTAGAATTGCATTATCTAAAGATATTATATATTATAATACATTATCTAAGGTTTCTATTTAAGGAAGTGCTCAGATATCTACAAGACATGTACTATTTTTTTAATTACAAATTTCATAAATAGTGAATAGACTTTCGGAGATTTCTATGCGTAAAGTACTTTATGGTAATGGTTTAAAAAACAGATCAATGACCCAGATAGGTGAATTGTTAGTCCAGATTACCGTTTTACTGTACAAAATAAATAGTGAATCAAAAAAAAAAAACATACAAAAACAGTAAACTCGCTAAAAATCAATGATGAATCATCATTTTTACTATAGCATAACTACGGTTTTAAAATAGCATATCATTTATTCTCTTTTAAACCCAAACGATTTCCTGTATATTGACATAATCAGCATGATTCCCTAGACGATTCTGTGCCGACCCGACGTTTTTAAATCACTGCTCTATGGACAAGGATCCAAGGTGAGGCTTTACTTCGTTTTCGTGAAGCCGAGGCTCTATAAAACCAAATCAAAGGGCACGGGCATACCGGTAATCTAGGGTATGACATTTCCTGAAGCCCCGTGATTTATGATTTAATGATAATTAAAAAACGAGTGGCCGGGGGACAGGGTATCATGTAGAGAGGGACAGTCAGCAGTCAGATAGTGACTCCTGCATGTTCGGTAAATAAACAACTATTAATGGAAATTATTTTAAAAAAACAGACAAGATAGAAGCTGGGATTTTCCTATTTGTTTTTAGTTTATTATTATTATTTTGCGATGCAGGAGGTAATAGTGAGTTGCAGAGCTCGAATAGAGGAGGAGAGGCTTACAATGGCGCCTAGACATTTTCTTCTCCTTTGGTTAAATGCTAGGGTTTTCAGGTTTAGAGATCGAGCCCCGTAAAATCAGAGATGGTGGAGATGGCAGTGAGAGCACTGATTAGATCGTCTGTAAAACTGTTGAAGAGGATTTGCTCGCTTCTCTAGTGCTGCTACCTGAACAACAACCATTTATTGGATGATGGAGCGCTTCTCCTTTGGATCTGATACCGCGGCTGACCATGAGTGCATCTTTCTAGACCTCATTAATCCAAAGGTATAAAACACTATGTTTCAATCAATTTCACTAGAAGTACATTTTTGATGAAAAATGCAAGCCTCCGATGCATTTCTATGACAGTCTTACCATATCACTTTTTTCTTTAACTCTCCTTTTTCATTCGAGTTTTTTCTTGTGATCTTTCTTTTGGAGATGTGGATTTGGATTGGTGCTGAGGATTTAGGGTTTTATGCATTTCCCAAACAAAGGTTTGGATGCATAGCTGCTTATTAATTGTGAGTTTTAAAGCAGCAGCAGCAGCGTAAAGGGGTGAAAGAATCAAATGCCACTGTTTCATGACTTTTAAAAACCATTAGTGTAAAGGGAGAAGCTCCTTTTGTCCATGTCTTCAAAAGGCAAAAAGGGTGGCTCTGTAAAAGGGGGACAAAAATAATGTGAAACTCATTATGATATTTTTGAACTCCTTTTGGTACATCTTTTTCTTTTCTTTTTTTGTATTTCTTGTATTAATGGAATTGTATGAGATTTGTATTGATTGAGTTGTGCTTTATTTGGTTGCAATGTAGCATTTGGCAGGATTCGATGGACAGGCCTACTTCTCTTCATCGCGTGGTCCTGATCCTCTGCATGCAGTCTTACTGCAAAAAAACCTGCATGCCACCACCACCAGCACCACGGCAGCTGCCGCTGCCGGAGACATGAGCCCCCCAACCATAGAAAAAGCAAAAGGTATCATTCCATCAATCTCCACATTCACTCTCGCTCTCTCTCTCTCTCTCTCTCTCTCTCTCTCTTTCTGACTTTTGGGGCTCGATCACTCCATTAAATTTACATCTGTGTTTTGGCCTTCCTCATTATCACTCACATCGCAAGTCCAATGTCCCTTGTTTTGTTTCTGGCTAAGTAAGTAGGTTTATTTATTTGTCCAGTACCTTAACAAGCCCTGGTTTGGCCATCCTTACTAATTCTGGTCTTTTCCATGGCGAACTAGTTCGCCAAGTTACATTTGGACTTCTTTATTTAAGAAAAGTCTAGAAATCTCTGTATAAATTGTAAAATTATGCATTGGTGAGTTTGAATTTCGCTCTTCAGACATTATTGCTGAAATATTTGAAACGGTTTATATGAATCATTAATGAATCAGAAAATGTTGTTGTTTATTTGGGTGTAGAATGTCAAAAACTATGCATATTAGAAGAACCCTCTGCAATTACAGTGGAATCTATGGTCAAGAGTGATCTTTGTCTCTTATCCTCCTAGTGTCTTTGAGAGGAGGAGGATGAGAGGTCCTTTTTTTTCTTTTTGAAGGTCAACTAGCCCACAAAGTATGTGTGTGAATGGCACAAAATAATCTTCTGCATTACTGCCACTATTGATTTGCATGATCACCACGATTCACTTGACTGTATATGAGTCATGCATTTTATATATGCTCTTCTTAAAGTGGTTTGGGTAAGATAAATTTTATAGTGTACTGCCCTAATTACAACTATCTTCACCAATTCCTGAAATTGAGAAACATACAAACGACCTTTTTAATTGGCATACCCTAAGAAGGTTATTTCTTGTAAGGACCTTGTTTGACAGGTTTTCTTGAAAAGATGGGAGCTGCAGGTTTGCTATATTTAGCCACATATTGATAAGATGAGAGGGCTCCTACTTGAATGGGACCTCCCATAACTTATACTTTCAAACAAAATTGCTGCTATGTGAGTGCCCATCTCAAGCTCTCACCTTTTCAAATCTGAAATCCTGAACCACCCATTCAAAAAAATCAAAATCTTAAGTACCAAAAAACTGTACGAGTGAGCCCCACTTCCATCTGTCCCTGAAAGCAAGCACAGATAATTATATGTGATGCCCCTTTGAAACTCTTTTGGCTTTCCTGCATGCATTTTAATTCTTGCTTGGAGCATACATGGTTAGTTTTAGTGACTGATGTCCCTTCAAATGTTTATCCTTCTTGCTGTCCATGCTTTTCTCACACTTGATGGTAACCAGCCATAGTTTGTTTATCTGCTGCTTTTTTCTTGGTCCTGGGCCTTGATTTTCTGTTGCGAATCTCTCAAACCAAGCCAGCCGGCCAGATACTCGAAAATAGCTACCTAAAAGTAACCCACGATCTTCTTCTTCCAGACTTTGAGAGCAAGCGACTAAAAGCCGAGACACAAAGAAGAAGACACGAAAGGATACGCCCAGCTTCCTTGGACCTAAATGATCAAGTCGAGGTATTGGGAGCCATGACCAGCCTACACCCTCACCATCATCAAAAGGGTTCTTCACATGCTCCACGTCGGACTGCCAACAACTGGCCAAGCCCCGGTACTCCAATCTCAAGGCATCCTGCCCCCAACAAAGGTTGGAGCTCAGAGCGAGTCCCACTAAATCATGGAAGGCAACGTTACATTGGTCTTCCACCCGGACCCACCAATGGGAGAGGAGGCCTGCCATCTAAGTGGGAGGATGCCGAGAAATGGATTTTCAGCCCTGTGACTTTGGTTGGAGGAGCAGATGTTTCTTCTTCAACATATAGGAATTCTGCTTTGGCCCCTCCTCCTCGCCGGCCAAAGTCGAAAAGTGGGCCCCTTGCTGTGGTGGGTCCATATTCTTCTTCACCTATGGGTCCGGTGAATAAGGCAGTGGAGCTCGGGGTTATAAATGCAGTTGAAGAGGGCCCTCAGAATACTACTTTGGTGGGATTTCAGGGTTATCAAGTGCAGCCGTGTATAGTTCGGTCGGCTAGTGTACATGGGTGGTCGGATCTTATGAACCAGGCTACTGCTCAGAGCTCCTCTCAAGGTATTTTGAAATTTGATGCTGTCTGCTGATTCTTTTTGTTACTTTGTTTCTGTTTTATTTGCATTTTGATATCTATGATTTTCTTTTATATCTCGGTTTCTCTTCTATATGTCTGGGTTTAGAACACGATGCGAGACTTCCTAGATGCTTGAGCCTGAGTTACCTCGCCTTCCTCACACGCAAGGACCCTAACTACTTAATTGGGTACAAAAAGAAATAATTTGACAGAATCAGATAGCGAGAAATTGTGATATTTGAGTTCTCCAAATCGAAAGCATGCTTATGTTTTTGGAAATTCTTACAGGTAACCTGTGTGTGGTGTATTATAGAAATGAGTCATCAAATACTTGGGCTCCAGAGAATTGCAGGGATGGTAATTTTAACCATGTTCTCCAGTAAATTGGTTCTGAAAATTTTGGATGAAATCATCAAAGATTTTTAAAGCCAATATTTGTACCAGTTTCTGGTAAGTCATTTTCAAGAGGCCAATTATTTCAATGTGTATTCTTGGGTGCATATTAAATTTTACGTACAAAAATGCTGATACACATGCTTCAACTCACACTCGAAAAGGCTGCATTCAGAGGAGATTTGTTTCATGACTAGTAGTTTACTTTCGGGTATTATGGTGTATCTCCATCCTCCATTTTTGACAATCGACTGTGGATGCCGAGCTTTGTAGTTGCACTTTCACATGAATGAAATGGCAATCCCTGAATCTTGAAAAATGGATGTCTGTGGATGTGGATTATTGAGTGTCCATGTTTACATGGGTTGCGTTATAGAAATGACAGGTGCTGAATAAATGGCCCCCGAAAATTTATAGAAATATTAGGTGCTGACACTTGTGCCCAAAGAAATTACAGGGATAGTAATTCTATGATTTTATCCATGCTTCCTGAGTAAATTGGTTCAAAAAATCATTGAAAAAGTAATTACCAAAGGTTTCCAAATCCAATAATGGATCTGGTGTTGTTTCTTGGTCACTTTTCAGGGGTCTACCATGTGGAATATTACTCCCAGGTACATGTTGAATTTCACACACACAGTTGGAAACCGACACTCAATTCACACAAAATGCTGATATTCACAGATTAGGACACTTGAGGGCACAAAGTCTGGTTACAACTCACAATTAGACAAGAGAAGGCCGTTTGGGCTAGTCTTGAGTCAAGGGCTTGGATATTGTAATCACTTTTGAGTGAAGAAGGTGTTTTATTCAATGTTGTTAAGTTCGCTTTCCTTCGGCCAAAGAAACCAAAGCCTTCGGTTTTTCCCTCTGTACCAATGCTCCCAGTAATTTGGCATGATTCAGTAGCTTTGGCCAGATTCGTGTTGGTTTGGCCAAAAAATGTAGATTCGGCTGAAGATGATAAGGGAAAACATGTAATTTTATGATGGTCAAAGGGCATTTAAAAAAAAAATCAGTACCATTAAAATAATATGATTTTAGCCATTTTAAAAATTAAAAGTTTATGATTTTTACCCTTGTTTTGCAATTTTTCATTTGGTGCAATTTTGAGTTTTGTATTTTTCATTTGGTGAATTGCCAAAACTGAAATGATGGATGTTCACATATTATTTATCATTTCATGTTGTTTATTAGGAATGCAAAATGATGAATGCTGAAGCTATAACTTAGCTATTTGTGATTATGGTTTGTCAACGGTGATGATTCGAACAGATAAGTAATAAGAAATTTATTTATTATTAATTTTTTAATTTTAAATTTTTTATAAAATTATAAAAATATATATTTATTTATTAAGAACATTAAAATCTTTCCATGAATGAGCTGGAGTATCGAATTACTTTATTTTTAAAACCAAACAGAAGGCTCAACAGTGGTTTTATTGTTCTCTATGTTTATCCAACATAAATTTTCGAACCAAACAGAAGAAGGCTCAACACCGGTTTTATTCTGCTATATGTTTATCCAATTGAAGTGTTGGATCTTGTAAAATCAGCTAAAATGGCTGCAGCTGCACCATTCTTGTGTTAAAACGGTCAAATCTCGTGAGGAAGAACTGATTGGAGAGACGCAGTGAACATGTCCTTTTGTGGGACCTGTACCATCTTGGAATCTTGTTAAATGTTTTGCAGCTTTTTCAGACCCGCAAGGACAGGATGACACAACACTCTTATAGTGCAACCAATACCCAGTTTGTGATTTGGTTGCCCCAAACAAAAACATAATGGTTTGAATTTTTCCGTCTCATTGGGATCAGAATTTATCGTCACTGTATCGGTATATTTTTTCCACCTCAGGAAAATCGATCGTATTTTTGGTGGAAAACAAGAGAATTAACCCTCTAAATTGTACAAATGGCCCACAATAACAGCCATATATCTGCATATTCTTCACCCTTTCAAAAGGAATTAATTGAACTTTGGGGTTTTGGCCGGGCCACGGCTTTTTGTGCCATTTCGATAAAAATGGGATGCATTACACCATGTCCGTTAACGCATCTAGTGCTGTCCTTTTTTATTGGAAGGCACAAAAAGCCACAATTGCATATAACTGCAGCCACGAGAAAACATTTTTCCTTAAAAGAAAACCATGAGAACTACTATGTAAACAACCAGCTTTGATCGAAATAATCGTTGAGGAGAATGCTTGTCTAATTCCCAAAAAGAGCACGAAAATGGGAATGTTTTATCTTTCATTGTGAAGGAACTGACGCAACTTTCCTATATTTCAAGGGACAGATGAGAAACCCTGGAGCAACAGCAAGGATGCATCGAGCATGTGCATGATCTCCCCAGGAGTCTCGAGAAGGGATGTGGCAACACAGATGAGCCCTGGTGGGAGCACTATCTCATCTCCTACCAAGAGAAGGGCTTCTCTATCTTCGTTATCGTCAAATTCCTCCTGTTCAGCCTTGGTAGTGGCAGAATTGCAGCAGCCACCCCGTCTCTCCAAATCAGAGACATTGAGGGACGTCCAAGTGGATGAGGAGTGGCAATCAAAGAGCGGGGAAGGAGGAGCTCGGGCCTCCTCTTGGCTGTCTGTAGGTGCTGACAGGGAATGGAAGAAGAAGGCTCTTGAAGTTCAGGCCTCAGTATGGGAAGTTTCAGAAACAGCCAAATGCATGTCCAGGTAGGCTCACTTATAGTGAATACCAAATCTTTTATAAATATATATAAGCATGTCCAGGTAGGCTCACCTATAGTGAATACCAAATCTTTTATATATATATAGATATATATATAGGAAAAGATTATGTCAGGGCTGAATAGTGTAAGCCCAATGATCCAGATTGAATTTAGGCCTATCAGATGGTCATAACTGCATTTTTTTTCTATTAATTCCAAATAAATGAAATTTGAGGCATTCACTCTTCTTATTAAGACGCATCTAATAAAAATATTAAGATAATTATTCGTTATAAATAAATAGACTAAAATACCCCTAAAAGTTTTAGAGGTATTTTGGTTCATTTAATTTTTGTGAATTATTTTTTTAATAGTTTTTATTAGATTCATCTACTTTTTAAAAAAAGACACTCCAAATTTCAAGTGATTTGGATTTGTAGAAAAAAATTAAATTTAAATACAAAATACAATCTTGACCATTAGATCAGTCTAGATTCAATTTGCACCATAGCGGTTAGCTAGCAGGTCGACCTTAGACAATATATATATATATATATATATATATATATATATAGTAGAGAGAGAGAGAGAGAGATAATATATATATATATATATATATATATAGAGAG